TTTAAAGTATCAATGATTCCACAAGAATTCTGATATATCTCTGTTGAACAAAACAATTCGCAACGGCTGCTTAACCTCGTTTGAAAAATCAAAGACATGCAGTTCAACACATTGACCGGTTTAATCTATTCTGTTTTACTAATGCTGATTTCACGAATTCCAAAGTCGCTTTTTCTAATGTAAAATTTTAATTCATTCCATCTGATTTCTCCTGATCTCGTGCCCTGATGATGAGCCCGGTGGCATGCTCAAAATTTTGGCATTAACAAATCTATAAGCTTTGCAGTTGTGAATCAAATCGTTGGATCAGAAAATCTCATGTACTGGAGACTTCTGGTTTCAACTTCGGCAATTAATCGGCTATGAACTTTAGAAGGTATGGGTTTCGAATTTGTTTCGAATGAAGTAACTACTTCAGAACAGCGAAGTTATCTGTTGTGGATATATCCTTTTAAGGACAGTGGGGCCCTTTTTAAGCCCAACTCAGCGACGGACTCTTGCATATTACTCACTGCAGGAGCCCTTAAAACGACTAGAACAAGGAAGCGGTGCGCTTACGCTAGACAGGGAGAGGCAACTTACTTGTTGTTATCAGAAAATTAAATATTGCGGGCAAACTAACTTAGGAATTAAAAAGCTGTTGAGTTAGCTCCCCCAGAACATCGACACCATCTTTTGCGTACGGTTTCAAATCTGTTCACAGACAAATTCACATTTAAAAAACAAAAAGATTTAATAAAATTTGCTGCATATTTGTACGTAGCAAATAAACGACATGTTACTAAAGCAGTTTATTACATTCCTGAACAGTAATCGCTTAGTGTAATATCGATGTTTAAAAAGCCTATAAAATTACCATATTTTCAAAAGATAAAATGCATCACCTCTATTGTTAGTATGACTGGATTTGGGTTGGCGAGGGCCTGCGGCTTAGATGGGTCATAGTTTTCCTGTAGCATAAACTCCGGTTTCAGAACGTATCCACAACCGCCGTTTGCAAGAAATCGACCCTGATTCAACTGCATGTACTTGTCTATAACAGAAATTAGGTGTAAATTTTATACTCAGAACAGCCTTCACCAAAAACCTTGAAACAGGCCATTTGCGAGCAACATGTAACAGTTTATAGAAACCGCCTACACTAAAAATAACAACTTAAAAGTCACGAAATCCCTAGGATAAGAAATCCGGAAACCATCACAATAAGCCCAATTAATAAAAACATTTTAAAGAGTAGTACGATAAATACAGTTGTGACTTTTAATGAAAGTATATTCGTAATGACTTCGACACGCACAGAACAGCACGCCAAAATGCCATCATAGATAAGGACGCAGCTGAAGTCAAAATGTGGCAATACCCGAATCTTCGAGATTATGCTTCATCTATAGATAACGACAATATGACTACATCTTTTGCACAACTACTTTGCGTGACTGTTCAGTTTATCACTGGAAATATGATATAATATATCGAAATTTCGTTAAAAAGATCATCTTATTAAAAACAGGCCAGAAATTATGATAGAATATGACGGAATACACTTCTTCATTGGCATTCCAGTGGAAACGGCAGCAATCTCAGTGCATGAAAAATTTACAAGAGCTCTCAATCTAACGAAGAAAATCAATTATAAACCAGTTCGAG